ATCTGACGGTTCACCCCTCCCCAGGCCGCAGCAAAATTTGCAAGTCTTGACCGGTCCGCGGTAATAAAAAGGTTGGGGACCACTGGTTTAGACTTTATGCTTTTGTAACAGTCCCAGTTTCTGTGCTGCTTGACTTGTCTGTGGTGAAAATGATTCACCACCCAAACAAAAGCCTGGATAGTTTCTACAGAAGATGTTTTTTGCACCTGCAGGAAGGAGGTGTGTGAGAGCAAAGACACTTTCATCATGTGTCCTCTCTGCAACATCTGCTCCACCTGGAACTATTCCAGCATCTGCATCACCTATAAGGTACCTGTGAGCCACTTCATTCCTCTTTTCTCTGCCTAAACCAACTTAACCTAACTGAAGCATCCTCAGGTACAGAGGTTGTCTAATCTGAGTGTTTTGATTCCTTAGCGGTGCTTTTAATGTCTTTCAACAGTTTGCTTTAGGTCAGATGACTTGGGTCTTATGATTGGATTCAATATTTTTTACATATATTTTCTATTGGTCTTTGATATTCGAAATTCAACATTTTGGTATAAATAGGACGTTTTGACCTAACGGCCCTGCGTTGTCTTGTAGTTAGTACTCTGGAGAAATGGAGCTGTAAGACACCTAACGAGGGCCATTTGAACTCCCTACAGTCAGTTACACCTTGTTTCCAATGATGATGATCCCTCTTCCCTTTCTTTCATATCTGTGTGCTCCTGCCAGCTCAGGTTATAACAAGTAATAAATAAGCAGCACGGCTCTGCCTCAGCGTGTCCTTCGTGTCTCTGCAGGCGGGTCTCCTGTTTGATAACTGGGGGACAGTGTTTCTCAGCCTCTTCATGTCTTTGTGGGCCGTCACCTTCCTGGAGTACTGGAGGCGAACTTCTTCAACTCTTACCCACCGCTGGGGCTGCTCTGAGTTCGAGGACATTGAGGTTAGACGCCACGATGCCTCGCTCTAAAATGGTTCCACTTTCCAGAAGCTTCTGTAAGTCCTTTCCTTCCCCGAACAGGAGCGTCCGCGTCCAGAGTTCTCGGCCATGGCGCCGATGACCATGAGGAACACAATCACTGGGGCTGAGGAACCTTACTTTCCTGAGAATAAACGCTTGAACAGAACTGCCGCTGGATGCATGATCATCGTCATCATGGTAAACCTCCTGATCTTCCGCGTATTCCATCAGAAGTTAGAATAAGAGGTTGAACTTCAGTTTCCTGTGTGCAGATTTGTGTGGTCCCGATGTTCCTCATTGCCATTATTTTGTACCGTACCATCCTCAGAGTCGTCCTCTACAAGTCAACTACTACTGACAGCGCCTCTGTGAGTCTAACAGCCGGGGCGTTCCTTCCAGTGTTTTCAGAATCTGTACAGACAGTACAGATTTCTGAGTACGCTGCCCTGAGGGACACCATGCATTCCTGATGTTCTGCTCCTGAGCTTGAACTGGTTTCTGCTTTCAGGCTGGGACGATAGCCAGCATTTCAGCATCAGTGCTGAACCTGATCATTATCCTTACTTTGTCCAGAATTTACACCTCTCTGGCCGGCATCCTCACACGCTGGGGTGAGTCTCTGCTCTTGGTGCTGAAATCACTGAACGGTCCCTTCAGGCATTCACCATCCCAGTAGTGATAATAACAGAATCACACCTGGAGCAGAACAGACAGATCAACCAGGGGATACATAGCCTGACATCATCAGAGGCTCTCTTCCTCTTTTCGTATGCGGTTCGTTTTGTGTGGCATCAACCTTTTGGACCTCGGATCATTTCATGAGGCGTCCACCTGCCTGTTGGCTGGAATAGCGGTGCAGCGCCTCCTAGGAACTTTGATGGTCTGATTTTCGTTCAAGGTACTTTTGGTCTTTGTTGGTGATGACAACATTTGCGCCTCCTCTCCCAACTCACAGCTCTCATTGTAGCCAACCTTATAATTGGTTTTGAGTTGAGCTAGTGGTGTTAGCCTCTCTCTTTTTGGTGTTTTGCTTTAATTGTTGATGGGAGTGTTTTCCTCTCCCAGTTTTGGTTGTTTTTTTGTGCACTGTGTTGACTCTCCTTCAATGCTTGTAGTGGCAGTGTCATCATTCTGGTATTGGTGGCTGTATGGTGGGGGGAACTAATCTGGTTTCTCTGTTTCTGCTTGGTGCTCATAGGTTGCACCCACAGTCGGTTCCACAAGCACCAGTTTGAGATCTGCCCTGGTTCTGGAAGGTGTGTTTTACCCTCCATTAGAGGCAGGCAGACCTCAAGTGGAGAGCTACATGCTCTCTCTGTCAGCCCTTCATGTCTCAGATGGGTTTTGTTGGCTATGATGTCACCGTGTGGCCAAACACTGCATTTGTGCCTAAAGTGTTACCTCATTGTCACTGGAACCAGCCAATGAGATTGACACGATTTCAGCCGACATCAGGAGGAAGTTCTCAGGCTCAGAGGGACTCCTTGTGACATCACTGGTATTAGTCACCAGGGTTTTCAGCAACACCCTCTGGCGGTCAGTAGGGATGAAATAGAACAAAACTTATGTATGTAGCTATGGATCGATGAATCCCAGATGACCGTAGAGGTTCTCTGACACTCGCATTGGACGACAAGATTCTGTAAGAACAGAGCCTCGGATGATGTCAGGCTATCATATGGTTGATCAGCCAATATGTCACAGCTGTGACTCTGTATCTGGTGTTCATGTGGTGGAAACCTCTCCGTCTTCACCATCTTCATGCCTGTGTGCTTGTTGCTATTCAGAAATGCATCGCACTCAAACCAAATATGAAGACATGTTCATCCTCAAAGTCTTCATATTCCAGTTTGTGAACTTCTACTCAACTCCAGTCTACATCGCCTTCTTCAAAGGCAGGTGAGAGCTGCTCCAGCAAATCGCGACGGCCTCTAAGCTTCTTCAATGTAACATTTTTATCAAGTATTTGAGTGGTTCTGCTTATAATCATATGATTATAAGTCTTTGGACTTTCTCCAAAGACTTAGCCTGTGTTTGTCCTAACAAGCTTGTTTGTGGGTCTCTTCAGGTTCGTCGGTTACCCGGGAATGTACAACACTCTGTTTGGCCTTCGCAATGAAGAAGTGAGTTTGTTTTTGTTAATGTTTGAAAGAAAGACAAATATTTCCTTAATCAGAAAATAATTTTTCAAGGGGCTGCCTGCAAATGTCATGTTAGGGGTTGAATCTACCTCAACCCCAAACATCCTGAGGCTCTTCAGGGATGGCAGGCTAGACGGATCATAACTTCTTTCACAGGCGTGGACCAGGACGAAGTTCTGATCCACGCCTGGTGTCATCTGATTAGGAGACCTCCTGTGGAGGCTTAATTTGGAGGCTTTCCAGGCGCATCCCACTGGGTTCAGACTCTTGGGCTGATCCAGAACTTTCTGAAGGGCCTATGAATGCTTATGCCTTATTTCCAAAATAGCAAACCAGTGCGGTTTGGTATTTTATAGTCTGACGTGTTTATTAGAGCGTTTCAACCACCAGCTGGACTCTTACTGGGCATGTGGAGTTAAACCCAA